AAAAAAAAAAAAAAAAGTATTGTCCCTTTTACGTCCAGTTCCATTCCCCAAACATGCACTAAAAAGTTCCATTCCCCAAACATGCACTAAAATGGTTATTTGAAAAGCCAAGTGAACAGACTGCCCATATAGTTTTTCTGGCAATTCATATCACCACAGAGATCATTAACTAGACACATATGGTCCATCAAACTGCTTCAGAGTCCTAACATCTATCATGTTCATTCTTCATCAAGAAGCAGCTATCAAGAGATTCCTTTCATCCTAAAGCTAAATTTCCACATGAGATTTTGATTTTTCACGGCAGCAAGTTCTTTATTTTGTGTCCCAGTCAGGAATATTAGCAGTAGCTTCGTTGACCATCTTTACAAGAGTGACCTGCAAAACATAACAATGGATAGGGATTAAACAAGGAGAAACTAAAAATCCCTGTATTCAAGGCCTTATAACATCGAAAGTTGAAGCGATATTGGAGAAAAAATGAAGAGAATCGGAAATTTCTACAGCTACAAAATCCATAACCTAATGAAAATGAGTATTAGGATCCAAGAAACTTTTACGTGTTAATCATACTATAAGGATACTTTTCCACTATTGATAACAGAGGACAGAGTCACGAATAGATTACAAATCACAGTTTCTTCCAAATGATAGCCAGAAACACTACCCCAGAAGTAATATGGATGAAGAATATGCACACGCAATATGCGATACTGATGCTTACATATATTCACGAAGAAATTGGACAGATGTTGTGATATATAGTACATGGATGTGCACACACATTGTCTGCGGATCTGTCCATCATACTAAACATATCTTTGTAATTAACATACAAAATTCCTATTGGACTTGAACCCTTTTATTCCTAAGTTTCGATGATTCTAAAAGTTATCAAGTATTGAACACAAACTTCGAGAAATTTTTAAGTAATAAATCCAAAGAGTCACGTGGGAGATTCTTACTGCATGTCTGCATCGTGACGAAGTTGAATCAGCATAAATATTCCAGGTACAAGGCAATTAAAAGGAAATCGCTTCTAGTGCCACATTGTAATGTGAATACTAAAAACATCCATGAGTAGTAAGATGATGAAACTTTGTTCTCCAAGTTCTGAAATGAGTATTCGATTTCCTGCTTAAAGAATCCTAGATTCGTGTTAACACTGGCACACACATTCCACGAGCGTCATAAGCTACTAGAGAGTCTGTTAACCCAGCTATGTCCCATCCTAACTCCACAAAAAAAAAAAAAAAAATAGCATTGTTCTAGGAGAAGAAGGTTGCAAGAGATATCTTAACATTTAGCATATATTTGCACAGAACCTTCACTAACGCTGGGAGTTCTTATCACATAGATGAGTGATATTGGAGATAATAATAGCAAGAAAATGAAAAAAAAACTGATAATTCCATTTCTCTTTCCGAATTAGTGCTGTTAACAATTGGTTAACAAATTGAACCTATTCCATCAGTAGACATGCTAAACAAAGGAAGAAAAAAAAAACCATAACCAATCAAGTATGTATGAAGTTAAAGCAGAAGAGTAGCAGTCAGTAGCTAGCATCAAATTGTAGAGGGGTAGGACCAATTTCGCATAGTCCCTTGGTCCTGAGCAGCATTGAAGCGTCGTTGAAAAAAGAAAAGAATATAGGCTGATTCCATATTATTCCAGAAGGAAAGATCACTCCCAGAGCTTAGTATACTTGAGATGCCCGAGTTAACACAAAACTTTGGCTTGCAGTCTCGTGGGTGGTGACTGGTGAGTTGGACCCTGTCATAAAACAGAAAGCCCAGATGGATTCTGTAACAAACGATGGCTTGCACTATCCTTGAAGTTTGCCCAAAAAATATTTGATGACATGAATTCGTCGCGAGTTATGCTATGATTTATCCAAAGTGACAAACTGTAGTCAACTTTGAGGGAATCCCCCATAAATTAGGGATCCAATAGTACTAGGCCAAACAATATCGACTACATAGCATAGAAAGTAGAGGCCTCTGAAACACTAATACTCCGAACATGAATTATCAAGGCAACGGGAAATGCCTCTAGATAAAAAAAGCACGAGGTACGCAGAACTAGATGCATGCGTATTTGAACACTACTAGCTTTGTACATATAGTGATGCTAAATAGTGTGATGGAGTTATGATCTAATCCAACTGAAATTTAGGAAAAAATTAATTCGATGAAGAAAAGGATCCTCTTTTCAAGAAGCTCAATAAAGTTGGAGATGACAGTGAATACATTCTAACTCTAAATTAGGACAGAAGAAAGAAATAACCAGATAGAAAAAGGATAAAATGGAAAATTATTTTATTTTCTTGTTTTTCTTCCATAAATTAGGACAGAAGAAAGAAATAACCAGATAGAAAAAAGATAAAATGGAAAATGAAGATGCCAAAGAGGAACTTTTAGAAATTTGCTATGGAGGTTAGTTCTGAAGTTTAAGAGATGGACCGAATTGGCGAAAAGGACAATAGGATAATTAGGTCTTTCACAACCAAAAAGAGAAAAAGAAAGAACAATTTGGAGGTGAGTGCAAATGACATGAACGGTAATACTATACAAATTTGTCTTTATCCCATCCATTTGCTACAAAAGTTGAGGGGTTCAAATGGGCAGACTGCGGGGAAAGGTGTCTGCTTTTATTTTCCTCCAATTAAAGAGTGGATGGTAGAACTCTCATAACATCTGCCCTCCTACTTTTTCTTTCCACCTAGTGTTTTTCCTACATAAGATTCTTCTGTAAAACCTTGTGCGACTTCAAACATTGACGTAAGCAACGGCATCTATGGAAACAAAGTGGGAAAAAAAGAGAAAAAAGGTGGATCTGTATACATCTCTAAAAACAAAGTGACATCGAGAAATCAGTGCTAAAATATATGTGCACATCAGTTAAGCAGTTTGCCCATGCTAAAGGAACAAGATGAAAATGTTCCTAATGTATAGCTTCAAAATTTAAAGATCAGGTAAATATGACTTGACCTGCAATTGGATAAAAATGAACAGAATAAACAAAGAACAGAATTATGAAAAAAAAAAAAACGAAAGCAGGAAGGTCATAAAATTGTAGTTTCATTATTAAGATAATTGTAATCACGTACAACACTCTCAGGAACACCAGGAGGGGGCAAGGAGAGATTTCGAGGTGGGGGTCCACGAAGGTATGATCTCTTATCGAATCGCCACTCTCCAAATTTCCCATATGTTAGTTCACCCTGAACATCAACAGCCTCATAAGTTCTTGACAAAACTAGTCCAGGTTACAGAGTAAAGTGGAAGTGTGCAGTTCTCAATAACTCACAAGAAGAAAATGAAAAAGCAATGTTCTCATCATAACGATGTACATAAATAGAAACATAAGTTTACCTTCATGTTGTAGTCACATCCATAAGTAAAATGGAGGATAAACTTCTTTCCAGTTTCGGTGTCCCATGGGGGCTAAAAATTGACAATGCAAAATATTAAACATTAGCTTCAGGTTACATATTCCATTGAAATGTGAAAACGAGATTATGCATTGTTTATAACAGTTCAGATGTAGAACCTGCAACATAAAGTCCTTCCGGAGAATATGCTGCACTCCATGATAAGCAGAGGCCACAGCATAAGCGTACCTTTGTTTGGCAAATAAAAACAGGAAGGTTAGAGAAGCTTTTTACCAATAGTTGCAAGTTTTAACTCATAAGAAATAGAACATTTCAAGATCTGCTCACATTTCTAGCACCCATCCAAAAGTATTATCTGTCTCTGGGTCATTTTTCATTTTCAAAGAAACATTCATCCAGGTAGGTGCAATTTTCTCCAGTAAATCCTGAATAAATCAATTCACGAATGGTTTTAAACTTTTTTTACAGATAAAGAAGAAGTGTAAAGATGATATAATAACGTCTTTATCTCAAAATAAATCGTGAATGTAAGGTACATGCAACAGCATGAATAGATTCACCTTTTTTATTATGACTGGAGAATTGCCAATTGGATCGATATTTGTAAGAGGACCCTTCTCCTCAGGGAAATACTTCCTTAAGATTTTTTCATGTTCAGTAGGTTTGATATAGAAGAAGGGGAAAGCAGCAGGATATCCTCCACGAGCCAAATTAGGCAGTGGATTGATGAATATATGATCGGGTTCTCCCATCAATATGTATCTGCAGAAGTAACCCAAATAATAAAAAGAGGTTTTGATATTTACGGAACTTTAAATGTCACTCATTTCATATCAAATGATAGGAAGCTCACTCTTCTTCAATTGTCGCCTTCTCCAGCCATTGTACAAAAGCCCATGGTCTATTCAGAACAACATAACCCTGGATACAACATATCAAGGAAATAAGGATTTTGCCATTTGTACACTCTTTCCTTTACACCAAGTTTGACTTGCCTTTGTTTTCGAAAAATCCTAGGTGGGAAAACTATTTTTTTTTGTTTAAATTGGCGAATGACAGTTTGTCATGTGGCAAACTGTCAAACTTGGTGTACACAAAAGTGTAGACCAAGCATGATTGAGGAAATAAATATTAGATGGATAAAAAAATTTAGCCCACTGTGAACATGTCCACTCTAAGGAAATAAATAATACTAGACGGCAAATATACAATTAAAAAGGCAAGAAATCATTACTCCCATTGAAGTTTCTGCAGGTTCTGATTTGGCATATGTTTCTAATCAACCGTGTATTATTTTAACATTGTGCAAGTGAATACCATCTGCTAAATGCATTTAGTTGAACATCTAAGTGAACATAACAGAAGGAAAACGAACTTCTTTAACAAAGGAGGGCAAAACCTATTACAAAATCAAGTAAGCAACCACATCATTTATGACTGAGTGAAGGAGATAAACTTCTAATTTTTAGAAGTATATAGAGATTAAGCAATGGTCAAGCAAAAGAATGATGTTATAAAGTAATAGAGCACCATAAGAGGGAACAGAAAGAAAGGTGAGAGTAATGATGGATGCCATCTCACCCGATCCAGACCTGGAGGCAGAGGATCAACCACAAATGTAGGGATCTCATCCATCAGGTTGTCGGGACTTCCAGAATGAAGAACCCGAGTGAATTTTCCCATTTCTGATCCAGGCAAGTTCTTCGCCTTCTTATACCAGTAGTACATGATACGGCACTGCCATTTACTGTATGGAGCATCAGTTGCTGTCAAGGCAACATGGAAAAGTAACCTCTCATTCTTTGTCTTTTTGGCATTCTCGGGCATTTCAATCACAGGATCAATGAGATGCTCATTATATTGTTCAGCAGGAATCCATCTCGTAGGATTGACTTTCTTGTAATTCATAATTGTTGTAACTAAGTTGTATGTTAAAACGAAAAAAATAATTGACAAGAGGACCAGAAAAAATTGTTTTGGTTGTCCCATATCTTTCTTCTCGGTCATAAGATAAATTATCATATAACAAAATCAAATCTAGCCAAACTTGAAACCATGCAGCAATCTGCAAAATCAAGATATTCAGTCAGCTTTATGCAAATAAGAGCGTATATCTGATGAACCAAAACTAATGAATAATGATCAATGCAATCCGGATTTTTTCCAACATCGAGGTAGGGAAAGTCTACAATAAAATTCAGGCTTACATCAAATAGCATATGCAATTTTTTTTTTCCTCTTTTGACTACATGAGTAAAGCAATTGATAGAAGGCATCACCAATCGAAATTCAACGAAAAAAATGCAAGCTATAACTAGCACTGTACCTACAAATTAATGGCAGCAGGAGTACAATTTGGATGAAAGAGTTGATTCTTTCAAAATTGCATTAAATTTGGGAACCCAAGCTTTCACAAACCCATCAGTTCTGAAAAATAAAAACAGAACAATTACATAAAAAATTAAAATTTCACACAATTGCTGAAATTCTTTGCAGAACACACAAGAAACCTGTTTCTAGAAGTACATTAAAACCCAAAAAAGCACCAGACTTGTAATACATTCTGGCATAAAGTCAACCATTACATTCGAGTCATTAAAAACCGAGCCATTATCAAGAAAAAGAGAAGTCAGTCAATAAACAATGACTGATCAAAATTTCCACAAATATAAGATGATATGCACAATTTCAATTAAATTGCTCAAAGAAGAAGACGATTATAATCAGAAATACACAGTAAAAGAAATGTAGAAGCAGAATTTCACCTGTGGAAAGAGAGGGAAAAGTGAAAGGTGACAAGGAAAAGGAGAAGAATCTGTCAGTGACGGATAGTTAACATATGACAACAAGCCTCAACAACGTGGATTCATGTGTGTATGGCCATGTCGAAAAAATGAATCAGTGAGAGAGAGAGAGAGAGAGAGTCAACGCTCTAAATGAAAATTGAGAAAATTCTGGTCATGGAATAGCCATTGATTGGGTTTGTGACAGTTATTAAAGTAAAAAACTGAAACAAATGCACTAAACTATAGGAGGGAAGGCAATGACAAAGATAAGCCCCGCTTCGCTCCCATTACATTATATTAATTTTTTTTCTCTCTTCATTTCAATCACACATTCATCAGATAAAATAATATTACACACAAATCTAAAATTTTTCATCACTTTTCCACCACACATTCTCCCATCAATCACCGTTCCAAAAATTCTCAACTCCCCAAAATAGGGGCTAAATGAGGATCTCATTTGGAATTAAAATTCGAATAGAAGTTTATTATGGTATAAAAGAAACACTACAATCTCGACTCAATTATAAAATTTCAACTTATCTAAATTTTATGATACCATCCTAGAAATTGAGAGGAAAACAAAACTTACTCAATTTAAAGACTTTTTAGTTCAAATACGAAAAAGAGTTTAAATTTTTGTATATCTCATCTCCATACTAAATTCACAATTTATCGATAAGAAAATAACTCTACAAAAGTAACCCAACACTCGATTTGAAAAGCATTAAAACTTTGAGTTATAATACGGTAAAAATGTTTAATTTATATATACATATCTACACAATTCCATAATTGAATTATATCTTACTTTAAGCGTCTTTATTTATTTTAATAACTTTTCACACCCCACTAAGTGCTATAGTTTATTTACACTTAAACGAGGCAAGGGCCCATAAGTTACCTTAGTGTTTGTACTAAGAAGAGGTTGGTTTATTATTCAATTTTTTTAGAAAATGGGTTTGAGCCTCTGGGCCCACCCCAAAGCTTTTAGAAATGAAAATGACCTACATTATNAGAAATGAAAATGACCTACATTATATAGTTGAGACTTGTTCCACCTGATTTTCCCTAACTTTATCCTCTTCTATATTTCATTAATAGAGCTCGCAAAAATCGTACGAGCAATGTTAACTTGATACGTAGCATTGATTACTAAGGTCGAACTTGAACGCTTTAATTTTTACTTGCCTAAATTAGATTTTTTCAACTAATGTTTAAGAGAATTTTATTTATTTCTCATATTTTTCCTGAAGGTCTGGAGAAAACTACATTTAAGAGAATTTTCCTATATTTGATAACCTGCTACTAATTTTTCCTCTACTTTTAATAAACCAAAAGGCAATCTCTCACACTCAACTAGAGAAGAAATTAGTAAACCCTATAAACTGACGCCACAAATTCCATCGCAAAAACCATATTTTAACGGCACTTCAACTAAATTTCACTTGCCTAAATTAGTTTTTTCAACCGATGCATGACGAATTCTCCAAAACTTTATTTCATAAAAATTATGCCAATCTAAGTGCTTGCTTATGTCATAGGTCTAAGTTGAAGACAAAAAAGGTGAAAGTCCGATTAGCACAAGCTCATCCAACTTTTGATGGACCAGGAAGCACTAGCCTGTTATCCTTCCACTGCAAAGAATGGGAGGTTCTCGCTGCTCTGTGAAACCAGCCTGACGCAGTGCCCTCCACTCTAAGAGTCACGCAGCCCATGCTTTCGCTTGAGCCACATGGCACAATTCTTTGCTTGGAATGGGCAGGCAAGCAGATTACTAACCATGATCCAGTTAGATAGGCTTTAGCAATTGTTCAATCACCCTTGGGCCTCCACTTAGATCACAGGCTCGCGTTACCAAGCCCGGCGATTATGTCTTCCTTCTTGCATGTTAATAAAGTGGTTTTATTTATGATTTCTTTTCGATGTGGGATGCTGTAGCTTTTGATCCAACATTTTCAAGTCTTAAATGCAGTACGTATCCTGTGATTAATGCTCTGATTCTTTTCACACGTACATTCGTTCTGATACCATATTGCAACTTGTTTAGGTGGCACCGGGCACGAGAGTTGGGACTTTGCGATTTGGGTCGAGCTTGTTATTGAAGTTAAAACTAGTTTTCAAAATCCTCACCTGGTTTGGAGTTGGCCTCTTTTGCCTTTTCGGGTTTGAGATTGTAAAGGAATCCATTGTTATAACCTCGAAGGTGTGTACTATATTGTATAATTATTATGTTAGTATTTTCAAATGGCCTGGACTCGTCTTGAATATCTCTTAGATGCCTAAACACTTTGCATTCATGTTCCTATTGAATTGTATCTAAGAGGAAAAAAATCTTGTCTGCTGAAGAAGTTTCGAAATTCCGTCACCTACACCAAAAGTATTTCGTGTATTCAAGAATTACATCATCTAAAAGTTTAAGATAGTGAATTTCTTTACCCCCTTAATACCAAGAATTCTACTCAATGTGTTGGTTACTCTAAAATTCAGAGATTTGATTCAACAGAATATGGAACAGGTTCCTTCTTTATCTAACAAATGAAAATTGAAATCCAACTATAACCCCAATCAAAACTAGAAATGATCAAATTTAACAATGGAGATAGAAACTGAGCAACTCTGTGATCTCAGAGGCAGACCATTTGTATTATCCGGCGCAAGATAAAAGCATAAAGCGATGCTAATACAGCATGTAATGCAAAGTAAAAACTCCAAGGAAACTAACTGTCATTTACATTTCCATTTTTGGCTTTAACTTAACAGCTTAATCTAAAACAATAATTTTAGAGTGAAGCCTCTGCCATTTCAGGTCGCTCATCATCCGAAGAATCCAAGTCTTTTACAGACACATTTGCACGATCAAAAGGCCGACTATTATTCACCCTTCGATTTTTCAGAATGAAGTCTGATTCATTCATCAGAGCAATATACTTCTTTCTCACATTTGCCAGCGGATGTGGCTCTATAGTCGATTTATCTTGATAAGCCTCTTTAAGTATAGCAGTGCAAGTCTTGTTCTTTAGTGACAGATAAAATATGTCAGGATGTCTCTCAAAAGCCTTGTGAACTTTCTGTGGCAAACCTAAATACTTCCTCAGGCACAAAAGCTTCTTCCTCTCGACAGAATGCTCCACGAATAGACTCAGTAACTCGTGAAGCAATGCCACCACTCGTTTCTCAGATAAATCGCTATCCGGCCGTAAACCTGAGAAATCGGCATATGGAGAAACATATGGAAGCCTCTGAAATTCATCCAACCAATCTTTTATCTTCTGCTTTAACCTCAATCCCTTAGAAGGAAATAGAGGGAATGCAATCGATTCGTTAGCTCCTCCATTATATAAAGATCTCCTCATTGCATTCTTTTGCAGCATAGACAAAATCTTCCCATTGTTATCATCAGAATAACTCTCAGTAACAGCCAATCCTTTCAATCCAACTTCCATTTCTATAATCCTAAAACACTCATAATTACCAAGAAATTCCAAAGGGTCCCTTGAAAATTCCTCAGGTAAGCCTAAATACCATTGCAAGGTGTGAATTACCTTCAAAGGCAGCAGCTTTTTGCTGCCAGACATCAATATAAACTTCTTCAATCTCTCCAAAATATCAGCTTTAAATTTTGCATATAGCATTTTTTCCTCCTCATCAAGCTCAATGGCTTTGTGGGTCAGCCTAAACCAAGGCAAATTGTACTTTGGACCCTCAAACTCCTCAAAAAAAGATGGGTAATTTCTCAAGAACCTTGCAACCTTAATATGTATGTCGAAATCTGACCCTTTCTTGGAAACAGCAGAAATCGGAATTGAATAATTGTCATGCGGTGACGATGAAGATGATATGAAGAAATTCTTGAGAGAGATGATGGGTTTGAGTTGAAGGGATTTGTGTACGGAATCAATGGAGTCATAATATGAGTCTTTTTTCCATTTCATGTACACATCTACATAGGATTGGATTTGGTTGTATGAGTAGGCTGACGAAGGGTTGCGAAGGAAGGGAAAGATGGGATTTTGTGAGGAGGAGAAGAGGAACCTTTGAAGAGAATTCCTGCTTTCTTTTATTAACATTGGTGAGCGGCCGAGAGTGGTGGTGGTGGAGGGTTTTGCTAGGGGATATGATTTTCTGGACTTATTTTAGGAATAATGGTGACCACTTTTTATTCCTTGTTTCAATTATCAAGTGAATAATACTGTAACTTTACAATGAGATCACCACAGCTTCAGGCGGCGGCGACTGGAAATGAGACGCCACCAATGCCGGGAACTCGATTCCAGTCCACCGTTTCAATATTCTGATTCTTGTCTTCCGATTCGCCGCCTTCTGCTTCTCTCTTGCCGCCGCGATTTTCGTGTTGATTAACACTAGGCAGTGGCCTAGTTCGATTTGGGCCAGGGCCGGCCCACTTCACTGCTTCAATTTGAGTGGGAGTGGATTAGGGCTTTTTCAATTGAAGGTTGTGTTTCTTCGACCACACGACTTTCTAATAGGAAAGTATAAGGGAAAATTATATAAAACCAGAGGTTTAGTTTGTCATTTTTAAAAGTCAGGTTTTAAGTTTATTTTGTAAAAATCAGCTAGTATATTAAAACCTAATTCTTAACCTAATTTCTCCCCCCATTC